GCCCCGCCCCACCGCCCACAGCTCAGGCGCGGAAGGCCCCGCTGGGTCTGTAACCTGGCTGTAGGTGCCGTCGTCGTTGCACTCCGGGATGAACACCTGCTGCAGCTCCTTCCGGGCCTGCTCCTGGGTGTACTTCCTCTCGGCCACACACCGGGACATGTCTGCGGGAGACAGCAAACGGGGGCAGCGTCAGGCGGCGGAAGAGGCAGGCGCACAGGTCCCAGGGCAGCATGGAGGTCGCGGGGCCCGGAGGGACTGGGAGAGTCAGGCGAGCCTGGAAGGAGGGCAGGACAGGCGTGTCGCCCCAGTGAAAGGCTTGTGGGGTCGCCCTCGACACTTAGGAGCTCAGGGCAGGCTACTCGGCCCGGCCGGGCGAAATGTGGACCTGGCTTCATGGAAGAAGAGGAAGTGCCCGCTGCCCTCCGGCCGGCTGCTGTCTGGCTCTCCTCGGGCCCATCCGGGAACACGGGGTCTAGTCTACTCACCGGAGGGGACCGAGTCTCCAAGCCACACTGAAAATCCGAGCAGACACACTGGCCCAGACCGAGGGCGCGCCACAGCACCTCGGAAGGCATGTGACATTCTGGCCCACAGTGGGGCCCAGGAGACCCACCGGGTCTGGAGGCCGGCTCTGTGTGGCAGCCTCTTTCCTGTGCACTGAAGATCCTGCAGATGTCAAAGTGATGCCAGCTCTCGCTTCCTCCTGCTCCCAGCAGAAGTCTGACAGCACGTGGACGCGAAGGGCCGGCCAGCCGGAGCACGCCCGCCCGCCTGACTCTTCCGACTTTTGTGTTAAGGTCACCGCAACACAGTCTGATACCAACCTCCACGTCCCTACTGCCCGCTGAGGAAGCTGTCTCCCGGGACTCAGTAAACTGGTGGAAACGGAAGAGTCCAGAAACACACGAGCGTGTCTAACCCGCTCCAGACACACGAGTTAGGACGCAGACACCAAAGCCAGTCAGCGCAACCCTGGGCACCGTGAGCCGTGGCGGCCTGGGATCCCCCACCCCCACAAGGACAGGCCGCATTGGTTTGGGGCATCATACAACACAGCTCGTTTGAATTGTAAAACTTGAAAAGAATGGCTTTCCCAATGTTTCTTAAGCGCTTCCAGATTTAAATAACAAGTTATCTAGATCTTAAAGCCCTCTGGACTCCAAAAGATACTTCTTCAAACGCGTCCACTGCCCAGCGTCTTCGGCTGGCGACGTTTTGATTGCCTGGTAGTGAAAGCTGCTGGCTACGACTAAATGCCATCTGGGCAGCAGCCCCGGGGCGGGCAGCCACGTGCGATAGCTCGGGGCGTCAGTGCGCTGGATAGACTCCGTGCTGGAGGTCCACGGCAGGCTGCTGGCAGCCCCGGGGACGAGCTGCATCCAGGGTGACAGGCCTGCACACTGCAGAAACCCCCATGGGCCCAGGGCCTCGCGTCCTGGTCTGCGTTAGGCCTGGCCAGCCGGCGTTCAGCGACATGTGGTTTTAATGTAGCCTGTGTTTTAGCTGAGGAGAAATCGCTGCTTTGCTGGACTTCTGTCCTCGGTTTTGAGGACAGCCTGTGGTTTTACTGTCTAAAGGAAAACTGTGAGCTCCAGCTCACAGGGTCTCTGCTCGGTGCAGATGCAGCTACAAGTCACCTCCAACGCTGGCGCTCCCGTGGGACACGCACACACTTCTCGAAGGTCTCGTGGGCCCCGGCCCGGGCTTGGAGGCCTTCTTGGAAAGATGTCACATCTGCCACTGGTCAGACAGTTCTTGACCCTGCAGCCCTCGTGCTTGACGGAACCTGAGACCCCAGGTTTGTGCCTGCGCGTGGCTGTCTAGTCAGAGGGACCCGTGAAGACCCCGAGGCTCGGCGCTGCAGGCCTGCGTCAGCCAACCCCAGAACGACCCTGTCACCACCTGTGGAATGAATGCCGCCACCTCAAACCACTTCCCATTGTCCCGCACCCCAGGTGCTCTGCATCAGGGGTGAGGTCCGTCCTCTCGAGGACTGTGGACGGCAGCCACCAGGTCCGTTCTCAACACCCGAAGGCACCAGGGGATGTCACTCCAATCTGGGACACCTCCCTTGTGTTACTTCCGCTGTGTTATCGATTCTATCACAGTAGAATGCAGAGCACGAGATGCACCCTCCGGGCCGATGTTCCCGGGCGCAGCGCACCCCTGTGAACGCGGCTGGGCCTCCGCGGCGTGCCTGCTGCGTGCACACTTCTGACTAATTAAACACCCTGCTTTACAGAAATCGAAATATTAAGCCCACCCTCAAAGTTATATTATTCCCAGCTTCCCATTTTGCCCACTACTTTTGAAAGAACGCCACGGAAAGGTTCATCATTCTCCCCTTGAAGCTGCGGTCACGGGGGACGAATTCCGGCCCGTGCTACACTTACACGCTGCGCTTTCATGGCCGGATTAAAAGCTGGGCAGGTCCTTCGCCCAGGGCCTGGCTGAGGTTTTACTACGGACGATTTATTTTTAACTGTGTGAAAATTAAATCCTCAAAACACAGGCGCCATAAGCTTTTTATTGCGATACAACTACACATAACAAAATCCATCATTTTAACCGTTTTAAAGTGTGTGATCCAGTGGCATTTAGTACAGCCACCACCTCTGTCTGTTTCAGGACACTTTTTTACCCCAAAAGGAAATCCCAGCTCCCTGAGCGTCACTCCCGGCCCCTCCCGGTCCCGCTCGCCTGCTCTTAATCTCGATGGATTTGCCTCTTCGGGCCGTCCGTACAAACGGAACCACAGGCGATGGGGCCTCGTGTGAATGGAGTCTTTCGGGGGGCACGTGCGGGTCCCTGTGTGGCGTGTGTCTGTGCTTCCTCCTCGCGGCCGAATACACCGCTTCGTGTGGACGGACCGCGGCTCCTCCCTTCACCGCGGATGGACGCGTGGCCGTGTCCGGAACCGCGCGGCGTGGGCGATCGCGTCCGGGTCTGTGTCCGAACGTCCGCTCCCAGCCTCCTGGACCTGCGCCTGGGACGGGAACTTCTGCGTCTACGATAATTCTGCGCTGACAGGGAAACCTCCGTTTTCCAAGGCAGCTGAGCCATTTTCCGCGCCTGCCGGCGGGGCCGAGGGCTCCGACTGAGCGCGTCTTCCTCGCTGTTCGCTTTCTGTCACTCCCATCTGTAGATGTTCCCGTCACCCCAGTGGGCACGACTTGGTGTCTCACAATGTTTGGCTCAGAGTAATTTGTAAGCTACCGCCAACAGGGCCAGCGACAGCGACCTTCACGGGCGGCCGGGATGCGACAGTCCTTCGGCCTGAGAGTCCTCATAGGGACGCACGCCCACCCCACCGCAGGGTCACCAGGACGTGTGACTAGAAACGGGGCATCAGCTAACAGAGGCAGCGCGTCGCGGGCGCCACGCCGCATCACGAGCCTCTCGCAGGGCAGGACGGGCCGGGAACACGGAGTCAGCGCAGAGGGGAAGGTGCGCTGGACGCCTTCCCGGTCACAGACCCACCAACGCTGGACCAAGACCGGTGTCCAGTGGACGTGACCGCGGGCATGGCACTGTCAACTCTGAGGTCAGGCCAGCCTCACACTGTCCCTCGCGGCCCAGCTGAGGCCGGCACAGGCGGAGTTGGCGTCGGAACGCACGAGCTGGACGAGCGAGAGCAGCCGGCCAGAGGACGCTGCTCCCCTTTGGCAGCGACCACGGAGAAGGAGCCCCGAGAGCGGCCGCCTTTTATTTCTGTTGGCGTCAAATGAAGGCAGACACTGTGTTTCCAAGTCGTAATATTTTACCCACCCCAAATTTTGAAGGTCAGATTCTGAAAAAAATGAAGAATTCTGTGCTGCAATGTTCTTCGGCCTAAGTAAAATATTCTTTCCCTTCTCATCGCAGACAGATGCACTTTGGTAGACCAGCGGGGCTCCGTGCCAGGCGCCCCGTCCGCCACGGCCTGCAGCGGTCAGCTAAGCCTGGCGGGGCCACCCCCAACCGTAGCATTTTAGAGCTAGACGAGAAAAGGAACTTAGTTCTCAATTCAAATAAGCGTTATCATTTTCAATGCATAGGGACAGAAACGAATTATAATAGGAAACCCCCAAGTACATAATTGGGGGTACCGAGTCATAAAGGAAAAAAATTAAGATAAACTGCAAACTACTGCAAGAACACATTGAAGTAGTCAGGCAGTTTTTACAAGATTTCTACAGAAAACAGCTGATCGCATTATCTCTATGATAATTGATGACCACAACTGTCAATATATCAAAATGGATCATTATGCAGGTGGTCACTCAACCTTTGGGGACACTTGACTTGTAACCTCCCCGGACGCAGATTCCCCCCAGCTCTCTGACAACTGATACGTCGAGACTACCGGGTTCACTAAAGCAAACGGAAAAGAGGTTTTTCACATACTATTCAAAACCAGTCTGCCGTGTTTCTGATCACGGCTTGAATACCGGAGCAGCGATGCCAGCTCCCGTCCTGACAACTGTGGTCTGTGCCACTCAAGGTCACCGGAAGATGTGACGAGCACAGAACATGTCAATCCAGCTTAGATAATAGGGGCCAAAACACTTAAACTGTTGTCTCTATACCAGTGCACCCCAAAGGGACAGGCCTACGACTGTCGCCCAGCAGGCACGCGAAAGCACCCTCAAATCATGCGGCTCGCCCCTCCCCGGGCGACACTGATACATGGGCAGTTTCCACGGGACTGACGTGGAGGGAGGCCGGCGGCTGCCTGTGTTGGTTACCTGGGCAACGTCCCCTCCCTGTCACATCCCGGGGAGGAAGCCGTCCTCTGGTGCTGTGGCCCTGGCGTGTCTGTGCCTCAGTGGGCAGAAAGAGGTGGCAGCGTATTCCGTACCGGCCCGGTGGCAGCCAGGACACCTGTCGCGGGGTTCCGTCCGCACCTGGGCTCACACAGCCCTCCCACTCCCTGTGAGCTGCTGGGGGAATACGGGTGGCGGGCGACGGGCCAGGTGACCAGCCCGCGTGTGAGACAGCCCCAGTGTCAGGGGCCGGTCTGCATGAGCCATGACCCAGGTGCAAGGTTACTTCTGGGGGTACCCCCTGCTTACAGACGGGGGGCCCCTCTCCAGGGCGGTGCCAGCTGGTGTAGACCCACATCGCCCGCAAGAAGAGGGCCGAAGGTGCACGCTCCAGCCTTCGACCTTCACCCCAAACCCAGGATGTTTGAGCTGCACACTGCCCGGTCGCTCTAAAGCGTGACGCTGGCTAGCCCCCTCATTAGTGGCCGTTCGCTGCCCTCGGTGGCTGAGGGGCCCCGTGGACGTGATTTTGAAGTCCACAGGTATCTGTGCATTCTTTTATTTAATCCTTCGGATTTAAATTGGCTTTCAGTAGGTAAGTTTTATTTTCCTTTGCTTCTCCCTTATTTCGTGGTTTTGAGTTACAAATTTGTTTAGTTACATAAATGAGAACTCCCACCGGGGGGCTGTCCGGGAAAAGGCTGGACCCAAACACAGATGCACTCACGAGGACGGGACCTAAGAGGACACCTGTGTAGGATGCGCAGCCCCGAGGAGGCCGGCTGCTGCGTGAAGGGCTCACGGGCCCCCGAGGGCCTGCGATGGAATTCAGGCCCCTCCTCCTCATCCAGGGCACCCCCAAGGGGCCACTGCGTAGGCAGAGGTGCTAATCCACCAAATCTGTTAATATCAAGTAGCATATCAGAATCTATTGAAAAAGATCAGGCCGGAGCTGATTAATCACGTAATTTTAGGATCATATGGCACAAAGCTGCCTCAAGAACTAGCTATTGTCCACCTGAGCAAACTAAGATTCTGTGCGCGTGTGAGCATGTGAGTGTGTGTGTGTCTCCACTAAATAAATCTGAGAATCGTCACTCATTTTCTCCAAGGAAATTAAAAATAGCTACAGTTTACTAAAAACCAAACGAACACTGGGAAAATAGCTAACGAGGACAAAACATTCATATGAAACGATGGAACTTCAGGCGGACGACATCTGATCAATTATTTTCTGCTATTTTCTGTGGATGAGAATAAGTAGTTAGGGAGAGAGAAGTAATTTTTCACTTATACAAATCTTTTTTATAGAGGTGGTCTGCTTTCCCCCATCACCACGAAGAAAGCGAGAGCAAATATCCTTTTGCCGGACCAAGAATCCAGCTCACAACTTCTAAATCCAAAGTTTCAATACTTTTTATTGTAGATAGTACAGACAACTGTATATAATTTAAGAAATAATTTTAAGTGCAGCTAATCTGAATTATCTTCATCTTTACTTTTACAGAAATATCCTATAGAAAGATATTTCAGATCTGAGTTTTAACTTTTAAACGATTTTCCCTAGTAAAATTTAATTTGTGAACCACATTGGTTTTGCTTGACAAAACTTAAGTTCTTTACTTTTAATGCATCTTCCAAGAGAGCGTTACTTCCTGTCTGGGCTGGAGGCAGAAGGAAGCCCTCCCATGGGCTCGGCTCCGTCCTGGGTGCCCAGGTGTGTGGCCGTCCCTCCCATGGACCAGGCAGCTGCTTCTCAGAAACCACAGAGCGCTGGACAAACGCGTACCCTAAGCCGGCATCTGAAGCGGACCTGAGGCCCGGGGTCGGTCCCGAGACTCGGCCCCTCTGGGCAGCCCACCAATGCCGACGTGGCCGGTCCCAGGGCACGCGTTGCGTGCCTTGGCCCCGCCTGGCCCACGAGGTCCACGTGAGCATCTGCGAGCCTTGCGTCCTAGGCTCGAGTGTGACGCTGCCACTATTGTTCCTGAAGTATAAATCACATGCCCCGTTTGCTGCATCTTTTCCTCGTTAATATCATGACACAATGAAATCCAATTGAAATTACATTTTCCCTTTGGCAGGAGGTGATTCCTTCACTTTGCGGTCCCTTACGGAGCCGGCCAGGGTCTGGGCGCAGCAAGGCGCATCGAGATGCGCTTGTCGCCGGGGGCCCGGAAACCGCTGGTCACAGGCACAGTGGGGACATGAGGAAGCCGGGCCACGGGGACCCGCCGCCCTGGCCCACCTGCCTTCCCTGCCTCCGCTATGCGGCTCCCCATCCCGCTGACTTCGAGCAAACCGTGGAGGCGGGAAAAGTCCTCAGGAACGTGTAGCCGCCAGTTACGGCAGAGCCACGGGCGTTCGCCCAGGGGCCGTCGGGCTCCCTGTCCGGGGCCCGTGGGGTTGCCACCAACACGTGTGGGGACCGGCTCCTCGCAGGCACAGACCGAGGACCCAAGGTCTCAGCACCAGGGTGCAGGGCGGACCCCAGCACGTCACAGGAGCAGTGCCCAGGCCGAGAGCAGACAAAGCCCTGCCTCGCCGTGTGGAGGGGTGACCCCAACCTGTCTCCTAGGACAGGGCGCGGTGACAGGAAGAAAGCAAATTATCCAAAACCCGGCCAGGCCGGGGGCTGAGGCGAGAGGCCCCGTGGCCCTCAGAGCTCTGCTCTGTTCAGGGGACGGCTCGAGCTGGCAGCTGGACAACAGAACACCATCTCGGGCTCTGTGTGGTCTTTTTCCCTCGACAATAAGGACGAGAAGGCTCAGTCTTTCTGAACAGGATTCTGTCTGCTTGAAACGGCGGCTCGTTTTGCTGAGTCCGACCCTGGATTGGCGTGGGAAGCATTGCCGCGTTTTGCTCTAAGCGTCTGCTTAACTCTAAATCCGAGTCTCAAAGCAGGAAAATTGAAACTCACAAGTGTAAAATAAGCACCAAAAAAATAAAAATAAAATCACTGGAAATGGCCCAGGGGCCTTTGCAGAAATCCCATTATGCTAGAGAGTAAAACAAGAACGGGTCGAGACGACCGGCAACAACCTCGGGCGAGAACAGCTTTAGAACATTTTGTGACACCCCTGGATAACTTTGTGCCATGATGTCACAAGACGTCCTAAGAAAAGAGAGCTTTAATCAAGTCAAAAGCGAGTCTGCTCTTGAGTCGCAGAAACCACCCTCCTTCCTTACGTGCTCTGAAGGAAATTCAGACACGGAGCGTGGGGCTCTCACGCGCGAGACGCCGCGGAGGGCAAAGTGGGGCGCGCGGGGTGGCGGGGGGTGCCGCGCTCACCTTTGCAGCTGCCGCGGTACGCGATCTCCAGCTGCGGGTCCTTGCACTTGGCACGCTGGAACTCGCAGCGGGACAGGAAGGTCCTTCCGTCAGACGCGCAGAGAGGCTTCTGGGGGGACCCCCCGCAGTCCAGGCTGCAGTCTTTGTCCTTATCTTGATCGACTCTCAGAAACTTCAGGGGGGAAAGAAAAGAAGCCAGACAAAGTTACGGACACGTTCTGCAGAGCGGCGGTCACGGGCAGCCCCCCGAGGCCGCTTAGCGTCGGGGTGGGGACTGCGGCCGGCAGCAGAGGGCGAGCCTCTGAGCAGCCGAGGCCACCGCCCGCGGCGCGGTCCCGGTCACCGATACCTCCCGAACCTGGGGCGAGCGCTGACAGGAGGCCACGCGGACCCGTGCGTGGCTGCAGCGGGCGGGCTCCGGTCCGCGCTCCCCTCTGCCCCTAAAGCCTGAGCGGCTCTGCCTTCCTTGAGGCTGCACGTTCACGAGCCAGTTTGCTGTCCAGTCCCATCCGTTGCCTGGAACTTGGGGTGCCACCTGGAAGCGGGGGGCAGGCTCCCCCTCTTCGCGAAGCAGCTCCGCACAGCGTCACCTGCGGCCCAGGCTCCCATCGCGTGAACCGGGTTATCATTTCGGGATCAATGCCCGCACCGGGAAGGACGCTCGTCTCTGCGAAAGGCCCGCCTGCAGCGGGAGCGGAGCTGATGTGGGGCCCGCCGCCCCAGGACCGAGCCCGTCGGGATGGCCCGGCCCGGCCCCAGGCCCCCCGCTGAGCGCTCCAGGGCGCCTCCTGCCGTGGCTCCTCTGACGTCCCTGAGGCAGCACTCAGACCCCACAGTGCTGCCCAGGGGGCAGGGGGTCGCAGACGGGCCGCCCCCTCCACAGCTGCCCCCCACGGAGGACACAGGGCGCTGCCCCAACCGGACGCCCCGACCCTCTGCACGTGCTCCGACCGACCGCGAGAAGAAGGCGGGACTCAGAAAGCTCACAGGCTTCAGGGGACGGGACGAATGGAGCCCCCGCAAGCCTTCCGTCCCCGAACACCGCCCGCCCCACAGAGCGGCTGCCTCCGATTTGCGGGACGTTAGCAGCTCACTCGAGGGCAACGGGAGCCAGAGGACCAGGGCTGTGGCCGTCGCGTCACCGCATGCTCCCCGCAGCGGCTGGCCCCGTGTGTCTGCGCAGCTTCCTGGCCGAACGCTCTGCCCCAAACGCCCCTGGCTGTGGGCCGGAGGGGAACCAGGACGGGGCTCTGCACAGGCTCAGGGACCCTCGTCAGCCTGCTCCTCGCAAGTGAGAGAAACAGGAAAGTCCCAAACTTAGGCCACTTCGTTCCCTGAAAAGATGCCAACCTCCCCCAGGACGCTCGGCAGGTCCCAGTGGCCCTGCTTAGACACTAAGCGGGAGCTGAAGCGGAGATGAAGCCATTGGCGGGGGGGGGTTGCTACCAGGAGCCACGGGCTTCGCACGGAGCCGCCGAGGTCCCCACAGCCCCGTCCTGGCGGCCCAGCAGGCGTGGGCACTGTCCTGGCGTGCGCCCTTGGGGACAGGAGGCCGAGCTCGGCAGTGGTCACTCCCCAACCTCCGCGGCAGGTGGCAACCAAGAACAGTGAGAGCCCGGGCGGTGGGCCTTCCACGCAGGGCACTGGGTGCAAGAGGCACCTCTGGGCCGTCCAAGGTCAAGCAGCACACTCAGACCTGCCCTCGCTAGAAACAAGGGGACAAATGCGAACATGCGACACACTCAGGACCGGGCTTCACACCGCAGCCTATCCGGTCTCCCGTTTTAGATGAAAACATGAAGTGACCTAAATCCTCCTAATTTTATGTGGAAGAGGCGTTCCATTCGCATTTCCTGAAACGCTGAGTAAGGAAATGCAGATGACTTAGGCTAAGACGTCCTAATTATCACTTTCTCTAAACGAAAGAGACAACTCCTGCATCTTTTAACACAAAAATAAAGAAAATAAAAAGCCTAGCATTCGGGCACGTGGAATCTGACCGAAGTGCTTGATAATTTACTGGTGCAGAACTCACAAAAGGGCCATTCTTTGCTGGAAATCAGAGCACACGCTCTACGCGCAGGCCCCTCCGCTCCCCGTTTTTAATAGAAATTAAATTCCAAGGGAGACAGCTCAGAGCGGAAAATGAGCTTTCGCCTGTATTCTTGAGTAAACAAAGCCCTTAAGGGAAAAGGGAATATTCCTCTCCTGAAGAATTTGCTCCTCATTGAAAGGACTTGGTGGAGGGTTTTCACGCTGGTGGAGATGAAGGGCGCTCTGCCAAACTCAGAATGAAATCGAATGGACCTTGAGCAACACCATTAAAAAAAAAAAAGGGCTTCGAGTCATGGGGCCTCCCCCCTCACCTGCACAGAGCAGGGCTGTTTGCACAGGTGCGGGAGAGGCGAGGCGGGCCAGGGCGCACACGGCGTCTGCGGCCTGTGCATCGGTGGCTTTCACGTTGGAAGATAAGTAGGTCAGATGCAAATAGATCAAAACGGGATCTATGTTTCGCTTAATAAATGCATGGGTTTAAGCCAGAAAAAGTTGGAACGAAACCAAAACGTTTAAGAAGCAGGTTAAAACACTCTTCAAACCTTCACATGGATGGATTTTCCCACCATAATAGTGATTGAAGACTATTTTTTTACTGTTTATAATACGGAATGGGTAAACATTAAGAAAAACACCTCTGAAATGTATAATTCTGCAGGTGTACGACTCACACAAGCAAGAACTTTCTAAATAATAGGTCCCCGGAAAGTGCGGATGGCTGCCGTGGGTTTGCTTAGTCCAGGGACAAGGCTCAGACACTGGGGGTGAGCTGGGCAGAGCTGCCTGAGGGCCACACGGGCCACCGAAGGGCGGGTGGGAGCGAGGTTACAGGTTCATGCCTGCTGTACAGAAAAACATCTCCGTTTTAACGCCCGAGCTTTCTCAGATTCGGGAAAGACTCCCCACGTTTCTAGTTAAACAGAGAACGTAAGTCTGTGACGCAGATGTGGAGGCCGCTCTAGAGTCCCTCACGTGCAGCTTCAAGGCTAACGGGGAACACGGCTTTCGCCCAGTGAGACTGCGGGGTGCCCAGCCACTCGCTCGCTCGCTCATTCACTCACTCACTCATTCACTCACTCACTCATTCTTTCATTCGCTGGCAGTAACATAGGCGATTTTTGTGTGTTTTAAAAACATCCGCTTCAGTATTTTACTGTCTTTGCCTCCTTTTCATACTCCCTAAGGACAAGACCTCATCTTTTTAAGATAAATCAAAAGTCGGATCCAGCTAAAATTACACTTATTCAATAATTCTGAGCGACCGCTCACTGCCAGGCATTTTCCCAGACTCCAGGAGGGTGGGAACTCAAAGGTGGGTCTGCCCTCCCGGAGCTTAAACTCAGGAAGGCAGGTAATCCAGGACCACCCACGATTCCCACGTCACCCACGACCACCCACGAACCCCACGTCACCCACGACCACCCACGAACCCCACATCGCCCACGACCACCCACGAACCCGTCGCCCACGACCAC